TTCTTAGTTTGTGTTAGGCAATATGTGTTCTTCACTATGGCCTGCACTTCTATGTTGGTTTTTCTTGTTCTCTTTTGGAATCAGTTCCGTACCTCTATATTCATCTAGCATCTGAACATGTTTTAGTTTTGAGTTTCAATACATGCCTATCTTATTTGTTCTTTTAAATCTGACTGTCATAGAATCCCCTTCATGCCTTGCTTTGGATACTACTAAAACTCTATGAAAACCTCCCTCTACTGTAATTTAGTGTTGAGTCTTGTGTTTGATCGATCGTTCTTTGTATACTAGCCACAACTATATGGGTTTCATGTTGTAATATTGCTTCCTTGCTATTTGTAATCTTGATTTTCAGCACCACCTAAGATTTAGATAAACATCCCATTTTCTCTCTTATGTATGTTAATGAGTAGTTAATTTACCCTTTTTATGCCATAAGTTTCTGTACTATGATCTATTCCCCATCATGTTAAGTCTTTCATGATATTGGCCAAGCTGTACCATAAGTATGTTGATATGCTATCTGGGACTTTATTAGAACTGTCATGCTAGAACTTTCATTGTACTACACTGACATTTGAAATCATTTAGGTTAATGCTCTGTGCACCCTTATATGTTGATCTTATAATCTTAGAAAACCTTATTCCCCTAACTCTCAATATGTTTTCTTGCCAATGTGCTATCTCTTGCTAAGTGTTTGAACCTGTAATACCAACCTGTCCTCTGAGTCTTATTGATTCTCTTAACTGGTATGTTCTGTGTTTAATTAACTCTGCTATGTCTGCTTCTAAAAGTACAAGTGCACCTCTTCACTTTCTATCACTTAATCACTGTTCTCTCACTCTCATCTATTATCTACACTATTCTAAATCTATCACTCTTGGCCGGCTGAGAGCCAAGGCTACCAAAACTCTCTCTATTGATCTCCCTAGTGTGAGCACTGCTCGGGGTCCATTTGAGACCCTTGTAAACTCTCACACACTAGGATTTGGGGTCCTTTGGCCATCCTCTTTGCTGGTGGAACTTAAACTGTCTCTGACACTTAGCTTGCCTCTCTTATTGTGTTTGTTGAATCTGTAAACGGGGTCGCTTAATTGTTTTTTTGTGTGATTCAATAATTTATTTGGGTCATGTGGTCAATTTGTGACCGTTTGGCCTGGCATGAGTTCCTTTATGACTTTGGGCTGTGCCGATGGACATAGTCTCCTGTTTGAGAGATGTTTGGACCTGGGCATACTATTTGTGGAAATTGAGCTCGTTGAAGGCCCAGGCAACACTGGGTTACCTTCATTTTTTAGGCCTGCTCTTGGGCCTGTAGCCTTATTCACGTGTAATATTTATATTTATATTCTCTGGGCCTGTAATAATTTGTAATAACAAATAATTGGGATGTTAGTAAAATTGGGGAAACGAGTATATTCTAATGTTTGCATAAAAGGGTAGAAAAACATGCCTATAGGATTTACATGGCTTACTTGTTATTTTATTCAACCTTCCATATATGCTATTTAGTTTCCATGTACACTAGTAGAAACCATGCCTATAGGGAATCACACATTCAACCTATTTTACTACGCCTACCACTTTGCATTATTAGATATCATGTCTATAGGAAATCAGTGTCAACAATTACTACGGCATATTCATTAGATACCATGTCTATAGGATTATTATTAACTTATGTCCTACTGATCCTCATCTAGATATCATGTCTATAGGATTTTAATTGATTAATTAGTTATTATTATTGCTATTTCTTCATATTGTTCGCCTAGAAAACATGCCTATAGAGATGAAGTGTTACAGAATCAGTTTTCAACTACCAACTATTAGAACCTAGCTACAAAATACTGCTACTCGCTTAGAAAGCATGCTAATAGGATCAAACACAAGTAATTCTGAGTATTCCCAATGGTTTTCACTCCCCTACTGCGTAAATCACTTAGAGATCATGTCTATAGGTTTTGATAACTTATAATCTATAATCTCAGTAAATAGCATAACAGTAACAGATAATCTTAAAATGAGTAGTTGTTTAGAAACCATGTCTATAGAGCTTAATGACTTCAATTTGCCTCAATTCTGAAACTGTCTAGTGCCTAACGTAGAAATTTATTTGCGTGCATTTATTGTCTAAGTGTGGAGGCTAACTTGAGCCTTTAACTGTCCTTAAGTGAAGTCCTATTTGTTTTGAATGTCGCTTAGTTTTATCATTTTGAGCAGCCTAAGTAAAGTCTAGAACCACCCAAATAGAGGTCCAACGCCTCCTGGACCATAGGCATGGGACGGGTAGTGCACGCATAGGACGCGACCTAGAATTGAATTAGAACGCTCTAATTAAACAACTTCAACATAGTAATCGGGTAGCAGGAGATGATAATCTGTGCCCGCTGAATAATATGAGCAACTCCTATCTAAAAGGAGTTGCGAAGTATTATTTATGTTGCACGTGTGATCCTTTAGGCTAAAAAACTTAGGACCCCCCTTTTTCTTTATGCACTTAGTCATCTAATATAGACCGTTATAGTTGTATCCTTGTAGTCCTTAAGATTTGTACCAATTCTCATTGTGTTATAATGAAACTCTTTGACCTTTTATTCTCTTTGTTTATTTAATCATCTTGCCTAATTATAATCCACATAGTTTTAAGTTCGGCCGGGACCCACAGTTGTGGACCTCGAAGAGTGCCTAACACCTTCTCTTTGAGGTAATTTGAGCCCTTACCCGATCTTTGGTGGCGCTGACTAGTCAAACAGAGTTATTTGCAAATAGGTGCCCTAACGCACCTTAAAAATCGTTAGGTGGCGACTCCCCTCTTTTAATACCTCCATTTAAAAGAGTTGTCACATGTCGAAACCCGATTTCACGAGAAAAAGGGATGCGACAAATATTATCCTACTATTTCTAACTGTTTAGTTTATATTGCAGATTTTGCAAATTTGTTTGTTTATTTTTCACAGGGTGGGGAAATTTATCAACTTGCTATTGATTTTATGAGAAAAAAGTTTAAAAAATATTTTTCCCTATTCCCCCTATTTATTTTGTTATTGCTTTGTTAAATCCTTGTATGAAATTAGGAAGTCCTCAGTTTTGGTATGAAACTGTTTATAATGGTTTAGCACTTGAAGATGATGAGTTGCCTAAACTTCCGTAAGCAATAGCCTCAATTAGAACAAATGCTGAAACTATTTATAATGCTTATCAAGTTGCATTAAATCATGCTAGACCAAATGTTCCAACTTCTTCTTCTTCTGATTCTCAATCTTCTAAAAGAACTGCGGGAATAAGAGGACTTAGTGTTTGGGTGGGATTTAGGGGTTCTTTTGGTTCTAGTAGTAATGATTTTTCACAACTAAATGAGCTTGAAATTTATTTGTCACAGCAACTTGAGGAAGTGAATCCCGACGGCATCTTTAATATTTTGCAATGGTGGAAGGACAAAGAAAAATACTTTCCGATTCTTTCAAGGATGACCCGAGACATTTTAACTATTCAAGCTTCAATTGTTGCATCGGAGAGCGCTTTCAGTCAAGCAAGACTTCAAATCGGTGGTTATAGAGCATCTATGGGGGAGAACTTGAAAAAATCAGTACATTTCAGAGATTGGATCCGTTCGAAAAGAAGAAATTTTGGACTTGCTGAATCACAACCAGAGGTAGACGAAGCTTACGAAGAAATGCTAGCTGAACTTGTTGAGGATGTTGCTTCGCCCGACAATGGAAGCGGCAATAACCAAACTACTTTTCTGCCACCACCAACGGAACTTCCTCCGAACCTTGAAGGATTTATCAAGTTTATAAGAGATAGCATGTAACTTGTATGAACAAAAATTAGTATGTATTATGTAACTTGTATTTTGGCACATATTGATTAGTTCTTTTTTCTTCTCAATGGTGGTATTAGCACCTTGTTGCCTCATTCCATAGGGGGAGAAAAACTAAGAAAGATATTGCCATATTTTTTATTGCTATAATAAAATTACAAGACACTGCTTTGAATATCTTTGTACAATATTTTTGTCTTTAAATTTGAATTAAAAATTAGGTCACAATTCTATAATAAATTTACAATGCATTGTCTTAGATATTTTTTTTTTACATCTTTTTGTCTCTAATTTCTATTTAATTTTTTTTAAAAATCATTGCTTAGTCGTTGGGCCCGTTTAGCCCGTTCGGACCGCGGACCCGACCTGTTTAGCACGAGACCATGAGTTTGTGGGTCCGGTCCCGGGCCGGTTCCTACAAAAAGCTCGTTTAGCCCGTTTATTTAAGGACCGGGATCGCGACCCACGAGACCGGCCCGGCCCAGTTACCACTATTAGTAATATGTCTAAATAGTAATAAAATTTAATATTTATATGATTATGTATACCATTATTAATTCTTATGTATACAGTAAATAAATGTTAAAATATAATATACTGTAAATAATATTAATTGAATTAAATTCTTTTTGTGACAAGATTTTTGCTCAACAAATGGTATACTATGCCTACGGGGAGGAAGGAATTATTTTGGATAGAAATTATCCTCCCAATACCAGTCATATTTGCTTATCTTTAGGACTATTGCTCTTTCTTCGAAAACTGAATCACTTTGGGCATTTTTTTAGAAATGAAATGCTTTGGATATTTTTATTAAGCATGATTATTGATTCATGTTCATTGCTTTCTGATAAGATATTGGCTGCAAAATAATTATTGCTACTAGGTTTTTGAAAAGTTTTCTTAAATTTTTTCTATTTGTGTTTTTTCTCTAATTAAAATCGCTTTCTTCAACAATCAATATATATTAGACACGATTTCTGACAAAGGGATTCATCTTACCATCCTTAGGCCAATGTGGCTCTGGCACTGCTTATGAAATACGTATAAAAATTGAGTGGCTCCAAAGCCAACAGATTACAAATCAGCTCCTACATAGTAAGCATACGCACTCCAGGAAGTTAAATTTTAAACATAAAAATTCAACATAGCAGTTTAGCACGTAATGAGACCCTACGTTGCCGGACTCTCCAAAATACAGTTGCAATCATGTCGGATCATCTAAAAAAATACTATTTTTGAAGGATTCGGCGCGCACCCGCCAACAATTTTAGAGAGTGCGATCGGACCTCCTACCTAAACCATTCGGTCCATATATTTCTCCTCTATTTCTTGCATCGTCCCCACTATCAATAGTCAGGGCCCAAAGAAGAAAGAAAGATGTCAATTGCCAAACATGACGGAAAGCATACAAAACTAGAACGAAATGGTAATCATAATATGAAAAAATTGACAGCTATAAATTAAATGACTACATAGTGCATGTTAATATGCTAACTTAACATGATCAAACCCCTCCTTTAAAAAAAAAAAAGGTAAACAAGAAATATAAAGAAAATTAGGATAGTCTCCTCATGAGTTGCTCCTCCGAACCATGACTTCACTCATAGGTGCAGCTGCCATAACCTGCCATTGTCAAAATTGAATTATTGATAGATTTATAACAAGGTTGCAATGTAAGTCCATTAAGTAAATGAGAAACAGAACAAGGGGCGAATCTATGAGTGATATTATTATATGTATACATGTAAACATTTGTCATATATGTATATATAGTTCGAGCAAAGTAATGGTCCAGTTGAATTCACAAAACTCGAATCAGCCTCTGAGCAGAATAAGAACTTACTTGGATCGGTCATGACAACGAGGGCAGAATTACCAAAGTGGCAATTCCAAGGGTTCCTTCCTTTAGTTTGGTAATAAAGGTTCATGGCAATAGAAGCATGGTTCATCAAATTGTTTGGGGAAAAGCAAGGGCAACCTTCCTGGAATATACTGCGGCAGTCCACATTAGAACAAGCAAAATTTATATTTTGCTGAAGGATTGCATTATCTGATGAAGGTTTAGCCACACACCAAGTCTTCTACAAAACCAAAAAGTACAAACACATTAATTACCAGTCTATTCGCTTAACTAATTACTTATAATCTACATTAACTAATTCAACTTTTTAACTTAATTACCTGCCCATCCACTAACGTTAGAATCGGCGCTGAAATGACAAGTTTAAAACAGTTAATTAGTATCATTTGAACTAAAAAGGATCGATACTACACTACATTATATTGAACTTGGCTCAACAAAAAAGTTAATTAAATCATAAAAATACAAGAAAAATGACTATTAGCGACAGGAAAAACGAACGTCTTTCAAACCTGAAGAGCAGGACACGAGCAGGAAGAAAATTGTGAGAATTGCTTTAGCCATAGGGGACTATATGAAGCACTGGATTTTATTTAAAGGAGAGAAAAACAAAACTGTCTGTCTAAGTTCAGATTGTAAAGAGAGCAGAGAAATAAAGAGAATATTGTTGATGGTTTCAGTGAGGGAACGTAGTTGGAGAATTTAAGGAGAGAAAAAGGAGGTAAAAGTGGAAGCTTAATCGTTACATATTAGATGGTGAGCCGTTACAACTTACGTTGAATCTTCGGGAGTAAAAAGGACACACAATAGTGTTGGATTATATATAGCAGCAGCGGAAGCAATTACAGTATCATATTCACGTGTGAATTAAACAATTAGCACATACAGAGATTATTCGAGTTACCTCTTGAAGCATGAACAAAGCAAATCAATATCCGTCTCCAGTTCCAGAGTTGCAAGACCTCAGCAAACTTCCACAGTCTTCTACCGTGTTACCCAAATAATATCCGAAAAGAGAGAATTTCGGGTGGGCGAAATTCAAGGAAGAAAAGCGTGTGTTTTTCCAGTGCTCAAAAACGGCCAGCTATATCCCATGTATATATAGCTACGTTTTTAGGTTAAAACCCTTTTCCAAAACATGTTAGGTTTTCTTCTTCCACTAAGGAAAGGTTTCCTTTATTTCCTATTGTTCAGGCACAATAAGGACCACAAAATGTAATTAACAAAGCTTCCTCTTATGGAATTAATTTTGAAATTTTGAAATTAATTTCTTCCATAATAAATTATGAATTATTCCACTAAAAATTCGTAATTGCACTCCTTAGTTCAATTTCGAAATTTTTTCATAAAATCTTATTTAACTTCCCGTGTTAAGATTCAGATACTAACCAATCAAATTAAATTACTGACAATTTAATTTATTGACTACTTCCTTTAGACTTTCGCTTAACTTATTTCATGTGTCGGATACAAAATTCATCGTCCGGGTTTACACATAAAAACTTATAAGCTTTCATAAAGGAGTATTATCAATCTCAAAAATCGAGATATAGATTCCATCAACTAATTATTTCTTCGCCAATGTATATCATTATCGTCCAATTTACCAGGCTTATTGACTCATGAAAGAATCTCGCCTTTTAATAAATCAAAACAATAAATGACATACACAACTAATAATAATTATATCAAGATTAAGAGTATAAGTACATTGAATGGACTAGAGAAATTATTTTATTAAGTTAGTAAAAAATACTTATCTCCACTTGATCCGTTCAATACATACAAAATGTACTAGCACAAGAAGTTGGAATTAGACCATTCCCATAATCAAGATAAATTACTTTTAATCTTGTGCTACAACCATTCCGATAGTTTGTCTAATTCCATCATTAGATTGTGAACATAAACTTTATGACTTATAAGAACCGATGATTTAATCTTCCATGTATAAGCTAAACTCTTACACTAAATCATCTACTATATAAGCAACGGACACACAAACCAATACATGATCTATTTAAAATAAAACTTTATTGATTTGAATAAGTAAATAAACAATTGTTCTATAAAGAATACTATAACAATATGCATAGTTTATAGTATATCCTAACAATCTCCCACTTAAACTCATAACCATGCGTCTACAATTCTGACACCCATTCCGTCTGCATGCCTATCAAAAGTCTTTTGTGGTAAGCTCTTAGTAAACGGGTCCGCCAAGTTGTTCTCTGACGCAATCTTGGTGACCACTACATCCCCTATCTGCACTATCTCACGAATTAAATGATATTTACGCTCAATGTGCTTTGCTCTTTTATGGCTTCGTGGATCCTTCAAATTTGCAACCGCACCACTATTATCACAATAAAGTGTTATTGGTGCTTGAATCGAGGGAACTACACCCAACTCTCTCAGGAAGTTTCCGAGTCAAACCGCCTATTTGGCTGCCTCAGAGGCTGCCACATATTCAGCTTCCATGGTGGAATCAACAACATAAGTTTGCTTGATGCTCCTCCAACTTATGGCTCCACCTCCCAGAGTAAACACATTTTCTGAGGTAGACTTTCTAGAATCTCTGTCTGATTGAAAATCCGAATCAGTATACCCAATGGGCACAAGGTCATCCGAATAGTAGATCAACATGTAATCCCTAGTTCTTTTCAGGTACTTGATTATATGCTTAACCGCTGTCCAATGCTCTCTCCCAAGATTAGACTAAAATCTTCTAACAACGCCAACGGCAAAGCAGATATCACGTCTAGTGCATAACATAGCATACATCAGACTCCCCACAACAGATGCATAGGGGACCGCCTCCATCTTTTCTATCTCTTCATCAGTTTTAGGAGACTGATCTTTAGATAGAGAAATTCCATGTCTTAAAGGAAGAAATCCTTTCTTGGAATCATGCATGCTAAACCTGGAGAGTATTGTATCAATATAAAGAGCCTGGGATAAGCCTAATATCCTTTTCTTGTGATCTCGCAAGAGCTTGATCCCAAGGATATGAGTCGCTTCTCCCAAATCTTTCATATCAAAGCATGTAGACAACCACTGTTTAACTGAACCCAACATGCCCACATTATTTCTTATGAGCAATATGCCATCTACATATAAGATTAAAAACGTCACTTTGTCCCCATCCCACTTTGTGTATACACAAGACTCGTTAAGACACTGATCAAAACCAAAAGTTTTAATTGCCTTGTCAAAACAAGTGTTCCATGCCCGAGATGCATGTTTCAGTCCATAAATGGACCTTTTAATCTTACACAACATGTGTTCCTTGCCACTTTCTATGAAACCGTCTGGTTGTATCATATAGATACACTTATCAAGACTTCCATTAAGGAAAGATGTCTTGACATCCATTTGCCAAATCTCATAATCATAATGAGCAGCAATGGATAAGAGAATCCTTATAAACTTAAGCATGGCTACCGGCGAGAAGGCTTCCTCATAATCGATCCCTTATTTCTGAGTAAACCCTTTTCGCTACAAGCCTTGCTTTAAAAGTTTGCACTTTTTTGTCTACACCTCTCTTTTTCTTATAGATCTACTTGCATTCAATGGACTTAACCCTATCAGCTAGTTCTACAAGATCCCAGACTTGATTAGAGTACATAGACCCCATCTCTGATTTCATAACAGCAACCCATTTATCGGCATCTTTATCATGTAGTGTTTGGTCGTAATTAACAGGTTCGGAAGTAGGCACCTCAGGGATCCTATCATATGATTCTCCCAAGAGCATATAACGAACCAGCTATCTTATTTCTCCCCCACTATGACTGCGCACTACATCAGTTGCAGCTATACCATTTTGATTTTGTGGTTGAACCACATCATCATCAGGAACCTGAGTCTCCATGCTATCCGTAGGGATATCAACGACTTCTTCCTGTTGTGCAGTCTGCTCAACATAACTCCCACTACTTTGTGGTAGTATGACTTTGGACACTTGTTCTTGCGGGACATCAAGTCTATTGACATTTCTCCCACTACTAAAATGCAATGGTATGTCAAAATCGACTTCTGGGGTTTGCATCTGGTCATTTTGTTTTTCAGATGACTGAGTTTCCATTCCTTTGCTGAGTTCCTGTAAAACGATTTTACTTCTAGGAACATGGTTCATCAAATAGTCCTCTTCAAGAAACTTGGCATTTGTGCTAACAATTATCTTATTTTCTTTAGGGCAATAGAATAAACCACATTTCGTCCTTTTTGGATAACCTACAAACACGCATACATCCGTTCTTGCCTCCAATTTATCCGTTTTCCCTTTTAGCACATGTGCCGGATAACCCCAAACTCGAATATGCCGCAGACTAGGCTTGCGCCCAGTTCACAATTCTGTAGGGGTCAAAGGTACTGACTTTGAAGGGACTAAATTCAGAACGTAATTTGTTGTTTCTAAGGCATGTCCCCAAAAGGACGAAGGTAAACTGGAATAATTCATCATTGATATAACCATTTCCATAAGAGTCCTATTTCTCCTTTCAACTATACCATTTTATTGTGGAGTTCCAGGTGCAGATAATTGAGATGTAATCCCACATTCTGATAAATAACCAATGAATTCCGCAGAGAGGTACTCCCCACCACGATCAGATCGTAGTGTCTTGATATATTTATTATGTCGTTTTTCAGTCTCAGTCTTAAATTCTTTGAACTTTTCAAAACATTCAGACTTTCGACGCAACAAATAAATATATCCATATTTTGAGTAATCATCTGTGAAAGTCACAAAATACTCAAAACCACCTTTTTCTTGGACATTCATTGGACTACACAAATCAGAATGAATTAATTCTAATTTATCACTTGCTCGATTTTCTTTTGAGGAAAAATTTCGTTTTGTCATTTTTCCTTCTAAACAAGATTCACAAGTTGGTAGTGCCTCCACTTTCAATGAACTTAAAGGTACATACTTGACCAACTTTGAAATTCTGTTTAGATTTATATGACCCAAACTCAAGTGCCATAAATATGTTTCACTCAATTCAGAATAATATTTTCTCTTATTTGGTAAATCAACATAATTCAGTTCTTTAGGTTGTAACAGTTTAGGAATAGAGTCAACAATAAAAAGACCATTAATTAATGTAGCCGAAGAGAGATAACGCTTATCATGAGTAATAATACATTTATCAATATCATAAAAATTAATATCATAACCATCTCTCATAGCGCTAGAAACCGAAATTAAATTCCTTCTAACTGAAGGTACATATAATGTGTCCTTTAAAGCTAAAACTCTACCACTACCAAACGAAATACTAATATTTCCTAATGCTAAAGCTAGGGCTGCCGAACCATCTGCTTGATAAATATTGATTTCTCCTCTACTTAGCCGCCGAGTTACCTGAAACCCCTACAAATAAGTGCAGACATAATTAGTGGCTCCCGAATCTACACACCATGACATGGTAGAAACAGACGCTAAATGAGTTTCAACGACAAGTAGATGTAAATCATCTGGTTTATTTTTCAGCTTGGTCAGATAAGTTGGACACTGCTTCTTATGATGCCCAGGCTGCTTGCAGTGATAACACTTGCCCTTAGCCTTTTTCACACCAGCAGTTGCGCCACCAACAGAGGGTTTTTGAGCCTTTTTCTTCTTCTACCTGCCTCTCGGCTTAAAAGAAGCACCTGCCTCAAAATTCAATGCCACATGAGGAGCTTGTTGCTTGATAATAGTCTCTGCCGACTGCAGCTCATTCAACAATTTTGCAAGTGACAAATCCATTTTGTTCATATTATAATTCAGGCG